TATTATTATTATTATTATTATTATTTATTTATTTGTTATTATTATCATTATTAATAGGGATTATTTGTCAAAAGCCCCCCATTACACAAGACTAATTACAATAGATCCAATTTTTTTAGAACTTTTTGAGATAAATCCATTTCAGCATTAAATAATAAAAAATAATAAATTATCACTATTTTACCCCTAACTTAAAAGTAACGTATATTTTATGATTGGAAAAAAAAAATAAAAAAAGATTTGTAATATTTTTTCCTATTATATCGCAATTCATTACCAACAACACCGGCTTCTCCCGGCAATCATTCATAAAGAAATCCTCATCGCAGCTGAAATATCTCCGTAGCCGCTCCGTCTCAACACCTGCGTCCGCCGCTCCTCCTCCCCACCGCTGCCGGCCGCCACATCAGCGGCGGATTTCTGCTTCAGCGTCGAGTTCCAATGGGTTTTAATCGCGTTATCGGTGCGCCCGACGAGCAGCCTCGAGATCGACGCCCACTTGTTCCCTCGAGACAGCAAGACGGCTTTGGGGCTTCGGGGTAGAAATTTGAAGCTTGTTTTCGAATTTGGGTGATTTACATGATTTTATTCCTGATTGTTTTCGCCATCTTGACTTTGGAGTTTTTCAGTCATGGAGTTTTTATTTATTTATTTCCATTGGAGGTTGTGTGGAGGTGCTCGGTGCGGTGGCAGGTTTTGGAAATTGATATAGCTGATGTTGTTGTTATTAGTCTTCATCACTTCAATGGCCATTATCACCAAATTCTTCAATTAAATAATAGCTTTCGGTGATTTTTTTTTCTTTTTCTTTTTTTTTTTTTTAATTTGCAGTTCACATTTTTAGTATTTATTAATAAGTTTTTCTAACTGTTAGTTTCTTCAGTGGTTTATCGAAGCCTAACATCTCAATCAGAAGTTATCTCGAGAGAAACGTAAATATATGAATATGTTTGCTTATATGTAGTGGAATTCGTTAATTATATGTACAGGAATTCGTTAATTACATGTACATGTTGATTTTATTAATTATAGAGTGGTTTTCATTAATTACATAGTGGATTTTTTCGTAATAGAATTCGTTAATTACATGTAAATAGTGATTTTATTAATTATAGAGTGATTTTCATTAAGTACATAGTGGATTTTTGTAATGGAATTCGTTTAGTTATACAGTGGTTTTTGTTAATTACAGAGTGATTTTCATTAATTATATTGTGGTTTTTGTTAATTGATAAGTTTTTAGGGAATTTTTGGATGAAATTTGTTAATTACATAGTGATCGTTTTTGTTAATTACAGAGTGGTTTTCATTATTTATATAGTGGTTTTTGTTAATTGATAAGTTTTTAGTGAATTTTTGGAATGGAATTTGTTAATTACATAGTGATTTTCGTTAATTACAGAGTGGTTTTCATTAATTACATATTGGATTACGTTAATATTAATGTGGATTTTGCTTATTATATAGTAATTTTTACAATATTTTTATAGTGGTTTTTTAATAAATTTAGTGGTTTTCGGATTTCATTTTTTTTTAAATATGGACCATTTAAAAAAGTGAAATAAAAAAAATAAATTTTTGTTTTAAATTGATTTAAAAAAACTATTCAAGAAATAAAAAAAAATTATAAAACTAAAACTGAAATGCGTGAGAGGGGAGATAATTGAGATAATTAGGGGATGGTGGGGAGATAATTGAGATAATTAGGGGATGTTGTTGGGAGAAAATAAAGGGATTTGCATAATATAATATAGTAATTTTCAGTAATATTAAATAGGGGTATTTTGGATAATTTCAATCAATTGGATTTATAACAAATATCAATTAAAAAAAATGGATTTATCAAGAAGTCAAAATTGAATGAGGGGTGTTTGTCATATAGCCCCTTATTAATAATTAAGTAATTTGTTATTTAATCTATTTTATTATTATTATTTGTGCGTAAATGACAAAGAAGAATAACTATATTAGACCAGTACTCAATTATGCAGAAACCTAGCTCACACATTTCATTTTGTGTTCAATTCAATAAAAAATTAGTAACGAACGACTTAATAATTCCTCATCAAACAAATATATAATTATTAAAGTTCGATAATGATTAAATATGATTTTTTTTTCTTTTTTTGTTTAGAGAAAGATTAAACATGATTGAACAACTACACCAAACGAATTGACAAAAATACCCTCAATATGTCTAGACTACGAAAGGTGGCAAAAGCGACACCGTATTATACAAACAATGTAGCGAAAAAGAATCACTTATTACCAGGATACCCTCGCATCAAAAGAGCAGTGAGAGCGAGGGCAAAAAGGGAAGAAAGCCAGTATAAATAGCAAATACCCCATTAATACGGGTTTTCTCAATGTTAAAAAAAAAAAAGGTCAGAAGAGAAGAATGAGGCAAAGAGGGAAGAAGAAAAGAGGGATTTCTTCAAAGGATTGTTGCCCCTTCGCTCTTCGCCTGTGATTTCTCATTCCACAGACAAAATCAACAATCCTTCACAAATTTTATTTATTTATTTATTTATTTTTTGATACATCAATCTGATATGCGGCGCCTCTATCTCTATCTCTCTCTCTCTCTCTCTCTCTCACACAGACACACACTCGAGGCTGTGATGACGATTCTGGATTCTTCTTCTGAGCTAATGGATCTGGCAATCGGACAAATAGATCCGTATCTTGGCGGGGCGACCCGGATGGCTTCTGGGTAATAACCAGATGCAACCGATGGTTTTGCAGCCATGGCGTGATCCCTGTCTCTTTTGCTTAGACCACTAACCCACAGATCTGAGCCTCACTTTTATTATTTTAATTATTATTTATTTTATTCTTAATTTTGCTCAAGAAAATCACGGAAAATATCAATTTTGACCAGGACTCGATACATAAATACCGAAATGGACTTGTAAAATGAATGAAGAACTAATTAATTGTTGAGTACAAAATTAGAAAACCCAAAGTATGAAATAATTAATTGGAAAACCACCCAAAAAATGAAATAATTAGTAAACAAAATAATTTACTGGAAAACCAAATAAAGTTTGATTTAAGTGGAATTTATTATAAACATGTAATGTATATATATATATATATATATATATATATATATATATATATATATATATAAGAAATGATGGGCAACGCTAGACAACTCAATGATGTTTTGTAATTATTTATAATTTTTTTACTATAATTTTTAATAATTATCAATCTCCTATTTTTCATTAATATATCTCAAATCTTAAGTGATAAAGATAAAAATTCGATTTTTCAAATCTTAATCTATATATTTTGATTATAAATCTTAATATGCAATATTTAAAAAAATTAATGTTATATACAATATGAATAATACTACATCATTAAATTTTACTATGTACTATTTTTTTTATTATGTTTAAATTTATTATTTTTTTTTCATTTTTCAAATAATATTCCGTGCATCGCATGGAGAAAAATAAAAAGCTAGTTAATAATAAAAAGATACCAAGAGTAAATTCAATTAAATTTGTTCGTGATTAATTCAATTGTACATCAAGACAATTTCGTTTGAAATATATTTCGATACAATATTACTGAAAATCCATAAATATTGGGTAATAGATATAGTAACACCACCCACCAAACGAGCCCTTAAAAGACTTGTGTAAATTGACAAAACTACCCCCAATTACATTAAAAAGGGTGAAAAGGGTACAGTTTGAGGAATAGAGGCGCAGAGGAAAAAGAAGTGAAGTGGTAGAGGGAGGTTATGGAGTTTCTCAAGGGTGGTTACCCCTTCCTCTCCCCCCCCCCCATGATTTTTCAAAATTATCCATCCAAACAGCCCTTTAATGTGTGTGTGTTTGTCCAGATAGAGATAGATATACGATAGATACAATCTTCGTCTGCACAGCACGCGCTCTGACTGAATCAGTCATCTTTTTCTTTTTTTTCTTTCTTTTTTTAAAATCTGGTACAGTCTCTGTTGCTGTTGCTGTTGTTGTCGGAGTTGAAAATGGCTGTGATGATTATTTTATTCAACAATTCCTCTGAGCCCGGCCCGTATCTTGGCGGGGCAGCCCGGATGGCATTTTACTTGCAACCGGTGGTTTTGTTTGCAGCCATGGCGTGGCCGGATTCTCCTGCCCTAATTACAGATCTGAGCCTCAAATTCAATTACAATTTCCTTTTTTTGGAAATACCAATTATGTCCTTCAAATTGGTTGAAAGAGCAGGGGCAAATATGACAATTCGGTTTTGTATATAATATATATACCTGGTAATAATACCTTGGAATTTTTCATGAAAGAAAAACGCTCAGAAGAGAAAAAAATTAGGGTTTGCAGAGAGAATTGGGATTTCTAAAGGGGTGGTTGCCCCTCTCTGTAAATCCAATGATTTCTTTCATTTCATTGAAAAAAAAAACCAACAGCCCTTTTCAGTGCTGAAGAAAGCAGATACTGATGATAAGCTTTTGCAAAAACACCCCTCTAAACTATATATATATGCTCTCTCTCTCTCTCTCTAGATTTATCTATATCTGTATCTATCTATCTATCAATATGGGAAGGAAAGGGGCTGTGATGATTTGATTGTACATTGATTCTTCTGAGCTGGATGGGTCGGGCAATCGGGCTGATTAACCCGTATCTTGGCGGGGCGACCCGGATGGCATCCGAATTTCGGATGCAACCGATGGTTATGCAGCCATGGCGTGGTTTAATTCCTCCGTTGCCTGATCCCAACCCTAGATCTGAGCCTCGGTTACATTTTCTCCTTTTCTTTTATTTTTATTTTCTCAAATTTGGATTTCTTTGATTTTATTATTTAATTTCTATTTTGTTATTATTCTATATAATATTTGCTGATCTGCATCAAAGATCAACAAGATCTAATTTAGAGACAACAGTATTTTGATACCAATGAAAATGAATGTTTATACCAATGATAATTTGAATACTTTTTTCATTCAAATAAAAAATAAAAAATAAAGGAGAAAATTACCAGAACACCCTCAGTTGAAGGGTGTTTATTGTTCAACTTTCTAGTTGAAGGGCGAAATTGTGAAAATGTCAATAGTTCAGGTGGAAATAAAGGAATCAAGAATGACATGTTAAATTACCAGAACACCCTCAGTGCACAAGAACACACAAATGACAAACATTGCCCTCTATTGAGGTTTTCGATTTTCTGCCCCACTTCTGCCGGCCACTCAGTAACTCTTATGTTCCCCAGGCCCGTAAAACCAGGGTCAAACGAGGGGCAAATAAGGAAAACAACTTTAAAACAAAAAAGGTATAACAGTATATATTGAATCGGAGTTGAAGAAATTAAAATCATGCGAAAAATACTATGAAAAATAAATATTTTTTCAGCAGTTCAATTATTAATTTTATTTTTGTTAAATGGTAGGTCAAATTTTAATTTTAATGAAAAAAAAATAAATATTTTTAATCGATATTCTATTCTATATTTACATAGGACTAAAAAATAATACTGAATTTAAAAGCCCAGGATTGATGTGATATTGGACCCAACTATTTAATGTCGTACTTAGTAATCCACTATACCAAGGACACCCTCGCGTATTAGATGGAAATGCAGCAAAAGAGAAGTCAAACTGAGGGCAAAAAGGGAAAAACGCCAGTATAAATACCAAATACCTCTCTCTCCACCATTACTGAAGGTGAAAAAAAAAGCTCAGAAAAAAAGAATGAGGTAGAGAGAGAAGAATCAGTGGGATTTCTTCAAAGGGTTGTTGCCCCTTCTCTCTCTAACCTATGATTTCTTCCTCAGTCAGAAAAATTCAACAACCCTTAACAAATAAATAAATATATATATATATATACAAAAAGCTGTGGATCTGTAATTTATCCACACGCCAAAACACACACACACAGATTCAACAACAGAGAAACAGAGAGAGAGAAAGAGAGAGATTCAATGCTTGTTCAGTATCAGTTCCTTTCATCCAAACGGAACCTTAATCGATGAGGCTGTGATGATATTTCTCCGTTTATTTTTTCTGAGCTTTTTTTGTAGATCCGGAGAATGGTGAAAACCGACCCGTATCTTGGCGGGGCAACCCGGATGGCGTATGAGATCTGAGAGGGGGGGTTTGTTTCTCTCTCTCTTTCGGTCTTGTATGCAACCGGTTGTTTGCAGCCATGGCGTGGTGGCGTTTCTCTTCTCCGACCTTCAATCAGATCTGAGCCTCATTTTATTTTTTTTATTTATTTTAATTTTTTAAAATTTAAAATTGGAAAAAAAACATTTAATCTGATTTAATTTTTATATTGTTATTCTTTTGTCAAAATTATATTTTATATATATATTTACTACAATTTGTTCCTCGATCTGAAATTGGTTGAGATGATTTATTATTTTAACCTAATAAATTCAGAAACATTTCTGCAATTCCTTGAAAATAACTTGACCCGTTTACAAAATCGGATCATGCGCCGGCGTGTGGAAATAAAACAAGAATAGAGGGGCAAAAAAGGTAAAAACCAGTGTCGAAATTAATCTAAACAAAATAAAGAGAAAATTGTAAATAAACATTACTTTAATTTGTTTGTCGACTTCAGACCACCATCAACTTGATCCTATGCTTATAAATAACTTAATCATTATTAGAGGTAGATTACTTATTTCTTAATCATTCTGAATGTATTTACAAAATTATCTCTATTTTTATCGATTGTTGGAGCATAACACGTGTGGGACGCATGTAGCATCCTACCTATTTATTTGTTTAATATTTTATTAGTTCTCGTGAGCTAATTGGAAGACGAATTAAAGTGATTTTTGTTTAAACTATATTTGACCACATCGACAAACAATTGATACAATGTTGGTTAATGAGTTAAAATTGTAACGTTTAGTTAAAAGAGGGTTTTGTAATATTTTTAAAATACGAGAGGTCTTTCTGTGATTACATTTAATTTAAGAGGGAATAATTTAATTTACTTTACTCAACTATTGATCAAGAATAAAACTAAAACTATGTAAACAAATTAAAAAAACACTAATCCTCATGTTAGCTAGTATCAAACCTAAGAGAATACACGATTAATTTCTTAAAATTAATTTTTGTTTGGGTGTAATTACACCTAGCTAGTTTTATAGAAGCTATGATCTACCCTTTTTTTTATAATTAACCGTAAAAAGCAATGAAACCCGTATGGTACTGTTGGTATAATTAATAACAATCTGCGTAAACGAAAAATACTTGTTTGTCGAAAAGAGGAATTGTGAAAATCACAAAGAACGATCGAGGCTTGCCAAAGCAATTCCCTTAAGACAATTTTTCCGGGCTGTCAATGGTGCACAGTCTCTTCCCGGTAGTCTCCCAAGGTACAACGATCGGTTGTCGAATATTTGCACGAATATTCGACCCACGGCGAACTTGAACAACGAACGGAACTTTGACGAAGAGAAAGAAAAATATGAAGAACTATCTCTCAATTGCCGATTAAACTCAGCACATAATTGGTCAGATTCTGCCTTTATTTATAGGTTGTAGAGATCCATTCACAGAGGGATGCAATGGTTGG